GCTCTGTAGCTCCCCTCCCAGTGCTGTCACCACCTGCCCCAAGCCCGACCCCTGCCAAGAAGAGCCCGGTGCAGCCCTGTCTCTGCCCTGCACAGATTCGGAGGTACCCCCCCCAACCCATGGCCTCCCAGGCACGTGCAGCAGCGGGATCAGTCCCTGATGAGCTGTGGCTCCATCCTGCACCTGCCCTACCCTAGCTGGGCAACACCTGCCCCTGCTCCCTCCCTCACCGTGGGGGGCGTTGATTTGCTCCCTGATGCCTCTTGCTTCCCTCCCTCCCCTTCCATCACAATAAACTTACCAGCTGCACACAGCTGTAACAGAAATCAGCTTGGTATTGACTGATATGCCTCCTTAAATATCAGCTATCACTATCAGCCCCCAAAATCTATTGGTGCACCTCTAGTAATTTCTATTGTCTTTTGCTTGCAAGTTGACCTAAATACTTACAGGTGCCTGTTTCCTTCTCAGCTGCCAACCCCCCTGATAACTTATAATGATGCAACTATTGGTATAAAACAGAATCCTAGGACAACAGATAATTGAATTCAGTGTCAAAAAAAGAAAAAGGATGGGGAACTACTATATTGATTGAACTGAGATTTCCAAATTAATTGCATATAATTTAAGTGAAGATGCCGTATCGATTTCCAGACTTTCACAGAAGCATCTTAGATAATGATTGTAGAGTATTCTGAACATGAAAGAAACTGCAAGCTAAATGCCGTGTTTTTTTAAATATAATTATTGCAATTTTAATCAACGTGTTATTTGTAACCAACTTAAATCTTTCATGCTGCTGCTACTGTTCTTCTTGCTGTGAACTTTGATTAATTTTTTCTTTATGTCCCTCTAGGCAAAGGGGCTGATTTGAGCAAGCCACCCTGTCGAAAAGCAAAAGATATACGGAGGGAAAGAAAATTGCAGAAACTACTTCAGAACCAGACACGCATGGTTGAAGACCCTCTACATCAAGTGGAGCCTCAGGTTTTACTTTCTGAAACCTCAGAATCCAAGCCAAATCAAGCAAAATGCATTGAAGATTTCATTTTTAGCTCTTTACCTGAGGATGCCGTACACCAGCTAGAGGTACTGGTGATTACATTACTATTGATTTATAATAACCATAAATAAAATAATTATTTTACCATTGGAATCAGGTTTTAGGGAAAAGGCTAGATGAAATATTTGACCTGGAAGAGACTCGTTTAAAATTAAAAAAAAAAAGTTGGAGCACTGGTAAATGCTTTGTAGAGAGGTCATTTATTTATTTTTTCCTGCTTCCGAAATTTTTTTTTACTATGAATATGTACTTTTAGAGGGAGACAACTTTTGTCAAAATTTCTGTAATATTTTCAGGATCAAAAGTTGCAGAGCTATTACCAGGGTTTGCTGGCAGTCTTTTTCAACTTTTAAATATACTTTAAGAACGCCTTTCAGGATTTAAAGATCTTAAATCTAAGGGGGTAGAAAATAGGGTGTCAGTCTTTGTGGTACTGTAGTGAGGAATTTCATTGGGACACTAGAGGGCACTCTGACTCTTATAATCTGAGTAACTCATATTAGCTGTGGCTTTTACAGCAGTTGACAAAATATTTTGTCATGGGGTATGAAATCAATTTTCGAATAAAAGACTGAATTTTCTGAGTGTTGAAAGACAGAGAGAGAGAGATTCATCATGTGTTTCTGAAGTACCTAATTATTTAGCCACCTTTAATAATGAAACTGATGGGAAAGCAAGGCTTGTTCTTGCAGCTGGATTGATAGGATAACACAAACATCTGTCCTGTAACTGTATTTGATATAGATAAAGGTCTTTAGCAGGTCATAAAGCTTATGGGAGTAAATTTTGTTTAGCTAAGTGTATTGACTGCCATTATAGCTATTTTATAAATTACAAAAGACTTAATAGTATAATGGGTACCGGGTGGCATGTTTTGAAGTCTGGAGAACTTCTTGAGCTTTCTTTCTTTTTCTTTTTTATACTGGGCAAACTTTTATTCCTGGAATATAAGATAGGGCATCTTTACAGGAAATCAATAGCCTGGGAACTATTGACTGTCATGGATAGTATCATTGGAAAATCTTAACTGGAGTTGAAAAGTACAGTGCGTTTTTTTTGTACTAATTGCGTGAAAGAAAATTCACCCACAGTAGATTATAATGAAGATTTGAAGTGCTTTGTCATGTGTTTAACTTCTTTTTCCAAGTCTTCTAGTTCTTGATGGGTTAAGTTGCAGAGGAGTTGGGAAGAAAAGGGGGGTGCTTGTTTTAAAAAGGAAGCAAAGTTGGCAAGCGGGGAAGCCAGGCATATAGGAGGGGGCGTGGTATACGAGCTGAACAGGACCTGGAGGAAAAGGAAGGATGGCTATAGAGTGATTATTTTATGGGGCACAGTAGATCGGGTGGGCAAAGACAGCCAACCCAAAACTGAAAACCACATTGCATTTAAAGTATTCTCAAAATGAACATGGCCTTAATTATCTCTGGAGACCCAGACTTGAGGTTCTGTTTGTTCATGTGATGTCATATTTCAGTATAAACTAAAAGCTCCAGTTCATGTATTTTCATTTTATAATTTAAAAAGTTGGAATGTGGGTAGAAGAGAAGGGACAGATGCATTCTTCTGTAACTCCTTGGTAATTTGTGATTCCTGCAACAGCTAACAGGTAGGAAGTAGAAGCGATGAGCCATCAACTTTCATTCCTTTTTAACAAGAAAAATGTCAATTCCTTTGGAATTATCCCTATCAGTGGGTGGTCTCTGTCCAAAGACTGTAGTCTTCAGACTTCTAAGGCCTTGTGTGCTTTGCAATACTTTTCTACCATGATTTGACCCTTCAGCATAAGCACATTTAAAACTGATGGGGGGGGGGGGGGGGGGGGGTTTAAAAGGATGAAGGAAATATAAAAGGTGGGGGGGGGGGGGAGGGGGGTGTTTAAAATGATGAATGATGCTTCACTTCTTGGCTTCAGTTACTGAACAATATTTACAGGTTTCTGCTGTAGAGGTTTTGTTAAGTTTCATGTTTCATGCATTGAAAATAAAAGAGAACCTATTCCAATAACATGTATTTTAAAGTAACACCTGAAAAGTCTGAAAGGTTGGAGAGTTAATTTATTAATTGGCATGTTAAGTTTGATGTTTTAACACTGATCTTTCTTTCAGCAAGTACAAATGTATTTTTGTTTGCTGTTTTTGTTGCAAATTTTTATACAAAAGGAACTATGTAGTGCATATGCTTATTACATGGTATAGCAGTAAAAAATATTTTTAACCTGTATCTGAAGGTGAGGTTGGTGAGATCATCTCCACAAAGTTTCCAGTTCAAAGCCACATTTCAGGAGTCTTACCAGCTCTATAAACGTTACCAGATGGTTATTCACAAGGACCCACCTGATAAACCAACTATAAGTCAGGTCAGAAGGCTAAATATAATTTTATGCAAAACCTCAACTTCCCCCCCATTTTGTCTTGCATGGACTCTGGGAGAAATAAATGTGGATTTCATATCCATTATTTACACTGTAAATACATGACCAAATGCAAGCCTGGAAAACCAAGGGAACAGTGAATTAAATTAAAGCAACGTCCTGGAAGTGCAAACTGTTTGTATGTCTTATTGTAGGTATCACAGATCTGCAGCCAGAAATATAAAGATATCTTTGGTTTGTCTCAAATAATTTGGAAGTGTTCTATAATAAAGCTAATAGGAATGGTTTAATACCATATCACTTGCATAGTGATATGGTGAGGGCCAGATAAATCCTTAACTTCAAAGCGGCAAATTCTGATCAACTTCAATGCGAGTATTTGTGTGGGGAAGACAAGTGCAGTATAAACAAAAATATGTGCAGAATAATTATCACTTTTTTACTACAAAAGAATACTAGTTTAAGATTTACAGGAGTTGTTTAAAGCATTTTACTTCTGATTTAAACTCGAAGAAGAAATAAGTGCATTCCATCTAAATTACACATTGTTATAATGAACAGACAGCATGTAATGGTTAACCTTGCCAGGCAAATTATTTCTCTGAGACTAAACAGAAAAAAAACTGCAGGAGTTTGGGAAAAGGCAAGGATATTTGATCACTAAATGGGAGACAAATAATTAAACCAATTTAAGTAGGGCTGTGCCATTAAAATAAGACATTTGTTTTCATAGAACAATTTAGAAAACAGCTAGGAAAAAAATGTATGTTTTCTTATGCTGTTTGTTACCACTAAGGAAAAAAATAGTACCATACTGAGGATACATCTGAATTAAGTAAATTTTAATTTAAAATATCAGTTTAGTTAATATCACAGTTACAATCACATGGGGTTCCCTTGCTTTACCCCATGTAAAAGAGAATACTGATGGCTGAGGCTTTGAGATGGATAGGAGGAGATCTTACACTAGCCTCATCTTCAGAAGCTTGTAATATGAATATATACGCTTAAACATTATGTTTGTATTTTCCTTGCTCTGAAGGTGAGGTTAGTACCTGTCTCCTCTGAGGACCCACAGTTCAAATCATCCTTCAGCCAGTCAGCTGCTTTATTTGCCAAGTATCAGATGGCTATACACCAGGATACACCTTCTGACTGTGACGAGCATCAGGTACAGTTCACTGCATGGACCTCTACCAATGCTTTTTTGCTGAAGGTTAGATAAATGGTAGCACGTGGGATTTCTTTGAACTACTCTAAATATTAAATCATTGCTTTTACAATTTGAGAAGGTTGGCTAATGTTTTATGCCAGGTTTCAAAAAGGACAAAACTTTCTCAGGTGAACAGTGGACAGCTATCACAGTCATAACTCAAAACAAAGTTAGTATTAACATTCATAATTACATCTAAAAGTTTAAAGGATATAAGAAAGTAAAATCTCCACTTGAAAGAATAGTTAATGTGGTAATATAGATAATGAATAAATATGCTTTGTAAATCTAAAATGTTTTAGGTTTTAGATAATTTGTTTTGTCATAACTATATATTTCACTATTTCACTTGTGCTTCACCAGTTGTTGACATCGTATTACTTTATTTTATTACCTTATCTAGTAATTTTTTTAATTATTATTTTAATCTCCATTTGTTCACTTTATGTTGAATCTGTGGTCCATTTATTTTTCTCCTGTGAAAATCAAATATATTGCCTTAAGAATATTGCTACTGTCTCCTAGCTGCAGACCCGGTCTGGTCTAAGAAGTCTATCCTAGCCTGAATAGGTAGGAAAAGAAATAAGCAATAGCTTCTGCCCAAATGTCACACATGATTTCCTGACAGGTTACACTGAATTTTGGTTTGCAAACCTACAGAAATTCTGGTCTCCTAATCTTGTTCTCTTGTTCTTGTGCTGAGGTATATAGTTAGTGCCTGTCCATTATCTAGACAGAACCCTGTGCAAGACTTCCATCAGAAATGACACCTGGATAATTGTGGTTGATTTCTACTTGAAATAATAATAAACCCATATGATAATTCTATTTTTTGTGCCAACATTACAAAAATTAGGGTGTTTTTTTCTGAAGGATGTCTAAAAGACTGGAATGTCATGAATTCCAATTTCTTTCACTTTAGTTGATAGCTTTACAACGTTCCAACTAGTCTAATAAATAGAAAAAGATAGGTATCCGTCCCAACCTTTGACAATTTTGGCTTACACGGTAGGCGGGGGGGGGAACGGGACAGCGACTGAAGAAACCAATATTGGGGGGGATTCCTGATATGGTTTCTTGAAGTATTCATGCTAGAATTTAGCTAGGTTGATAGTGGCTAGGTTTTGAAGTTGCTCTTGTTTTGTGGTTTTTGCTTGACTACGTTTTCAGTCTTGAAATCTGGTGAGCTTAGTTTAAGAGTGTAGGCAGATAAGCAATTTTACAGAGGTTAAAAGGAGTGGCAGGGGAAATTACCATGTGCTAGGGGTGTGTGAAGCAGGCCATATTTGATTCAGCCCAGTTCGGGGGACAATGATTTGATTAACTGATTCGGATCACTATCCAGATTCGATTCAGCTGAATCTAAATCTGAAGATTCGATTCTGATTTGGAGAATCGGTGATTCGGCCATAGACACAGCTTTATATGCCTTTCCTCTCTACCTCGAGGTACCAAGCACAGCTTGTGAACTCTGAGATGGTGGGGCAGATGGAGCATCCCACAGGAGCGCAGGGCGGCCCCCCCGCATGCTCGGCAGTGGACCCGGAAGTGGATCAGAAGTACTTCTGGTCCACTTCTGGGTCCGCCACCGGGAGTGCAGGGGACACTCCATCCACCCCACCATCTCGGCGTTCATGAGCCGTGCCTGGTACCTTGAGTTACGTAGAAAAAACATATAAAGCTGTGTCTGTGGCCGAATCGTTGAATCTGTCTGAATTGAATCGGAGGTTTCCGATGCAATTCAGAGAGATTAATGGGTCTCCTGATTCAATTCGGATTGAGAGATTCGGCTGCCAAATCCAGACGAATCTCCTCCAATTCGAATCAGTGACTGAAGCTTTGCACAGTCCTACTATGTGTCTGCTGAATAGCATAATATAGTATCCATTTCCCATGGAGTGGAGGGAATGTGAAGCAGTTACTGTGGCTCAACTTACAATGCAGTAGGTAACCCCCACATTTTAACTTGGTATAAGTTGTTTGTCCACACAATAAGATGCAGTATTCTCTGTTTTCTATGCTCCACTGTTCTTAGTGAGATAGGGAGGGAGGTGATAATTTAATAATTCCCCATTTTATTAGAGTGGAATTAGCATCCTCTTTATTCTTAGCTTTGAATATTTATTTTTTAAAGTAGTCATTTACAACTCCTTTATGATGGAAAAACAATATCACAATACCCTTTTTTTGTAGTTCTTAGAATGGAAGTTAGGGATAAGATGAAACTGATGACTCTTTGGACTAAAAGTAAAAGGGTCTGGATTAGGCTTTGATGGCTGTGATCTTCCTTGATTTCTTGTATGAAGAGATCTGGAAAAAAAATGAAGATGAGTAGCTGGGGCATCCCCAGTTTTCTGTCTCTGAAGTTGCACAAAGTGCCAGGAAGAATTCATTTGAAGCTGCAGAAAGTGCCAGGAAGAATTGATTTTAGAAGGAAGAGATGAGGTGGATTCTCAAGAATAATTGCCTGTCATTTACTAGCTAATTTCTTAGTTGCTTGTCTTCCTTTTGCTTGCCCGTATAAGGAAATATTGCATAGCATGCTCTGCTGGAATGGTTGGTCTAACTCACCCCCCCCCCCCCCCCCTTCCTTCTGACTGCTTGAGGATCCAGACTGGGTATAATTCTTTGTCTAGCTTAGTACTAAGCTAAGACTACCTTACTAGTTACCTCATGTTATTGGAAAAGACTATTTTGGAAATAAAATCATAACCTGAAACTGTTAGAAAATACACCAATGATCAAAGTTGTAACTCAACTAACAAAATTACATGCATTCTATGATGGTTACTGCTACTAATTTCATATGGAAGAACCTTCCCTTTCTTGCAGCTTTGAACTAGAGAATTTACTTTTTACATCAGGGCTAGGGACAGAAATTACACATAAACTGGCATAGGTGATCAGAAACCAGTTCAAATCTGTAACACAACAGAAGTTCAGTGCACATAAACTGCTTTCAAAATGGCCCAAACTGGTTTAAGATAAGCCTGGATGGATGTAGTATCACACTTAACTGATTCAGGTTAAATCGGTTTATTGAACTTCTGTCCTAGATCCCTTCCAAATTCAAGTTAACTCACAGTCCCCCAGCATCCCAGGATGCTTTGTACCTCCTTCACAAACCTCCCTTCACAGTGGGTGGATTAGCTTTGGCCCAAGCTGTTGCTCCAGCTGAGCAGGGAAGCATGTTTTAGCATCCCCCTGGCTTCTGACATGGGCGACTGCAGGCTTGTGGCTGTATTTCTGGAATCAAAAGTAAATGTCTGTTCACTTGCTTATTGGTTCAGTCTACGCAGATTAAACTAATCTGCAAGGATTGACTTGATTCAGCCTCAGGCTTTTTGACTGTCTATACTTAGCCCATGTGTCAAATGAGAAGTAAAGGATAATGAGCATTCTTAAAAGATATTTGACTGGATTTCCTGGTGCATACGTCATGCTGGAGCTCTCTTAACACTCAAATATTTTTCTGACTTTGGCAGATGTGGGCTGCTGAGCCATTTTGAAAGACTAGTTATCAGGGTCTCAGTAACATCTAGAACAGGGGTTGGCAGCTTCCTTAGCAGTGACAGGGCATAGTAAGACCACTCTGTCCAAGGTGGGCCAGCATTTCTGACCCAGCCACCTCCACTGTTTCTCTCTGCTGTGAAGGGCCACTGTCGCCACTTCCCCCAGCTGCCAAAAGGCTGCCAGTATCTGGTCTTTGTGGGCTAAATAAAATTGTTTGGTGTAGTGCTTCTGACCTGCAGGCTGGGGGTTGCCAGCCAGTGGTCTGGAGCATTCGGTTTAGTTTCTTTTCTCAAGATCAACTAATATCTACATCAGCAATTCTCAAGCAGGGTTACACAGCACCTAGGGGTGCTGTGATATCTTTTTAAGGGTGCTGCAGCATGTCACAAAAATATTAGCAGAGTTAGGTCCACAAACACCTACACATGATTCACAAGTTAAACTCAGAGATTTCAAATAGGAACCCATTATGTTCAAAAAGAAGTTAAAGAAAGCTAAGAGCTGGCATTTTCTGAGAGGTGCTTTGAATCTATAAAGATTGAGATCCACTGATCTATGTACTGTTAATGTACCTGTAATTCTCGATATGCTTTTTTTCCAGTCCATACTTTCTGAAAGGAAAAAAAAAGAATTTAATTTACATATGGGGAAATGGAGACACAGGAAGGTAGAAATTATATCAATTCTATATATATATACACACACACACACACACACACACACACACACACACACACACACACACACACATATACCATATACCAGATCTATTGTTCCCCAATAGAAGTGAGATTCTTTTTTGTTCATTTCAATTTTCTGTTCTCCACAAAGGATGTGCATTGGATTGAATGATATCTCTTTTCTTTTGTGATTTCTTTTGTTCTCATTTAGCTTCTTGGGGATGTGGATTAGGTGCTCACAGCACCCTTATCTTTCTTCAGTTTTAGCAGCAGAACTGCAGTTATTTTGAGGTCATGAGGGGGTGGGTAGATGAAGACCATTTTCTGCATGTACCATTCAAATGCATCCTGGAGTTGCAATAAGATTTATACTTCCTCCGTCTCGTAACTGCCCGTATTCTCCTGGGATTTTCTGGTGTCATGTTTTCTTTTCTTCCTCATAAAGAAGAGCCTCAGTCTGCTCCTGGAGTTGGTAGGTGTTGTATGTGTGGCATTATTTTTTGGATACAAAAAGAAAAGTTTGTAGATGATCTGCTCTGAGCACAGTTCTCTGCTCAGTGATAACTGTGTCCCAGTTGTTGAATTCGATGGTACTTGACCTATATATTTGAAGATGTTTTTGCAAAATTTAATGAGCTGACACTTTACTATTAGCTTTTATAATCTGTGATATATAGAGAATGTCTAGACAACTCCTGAAATGCTTGTTTTGGTATGAGTAGTTGTGCTAATTGGCAGGAATAAATTGTGTATCCAGCTCTAATA